GACCCTCTTCTCCAGCACCCTGGCGTAGACCTTACCGGGTAGGCTGAGGAGTGTGATCCCCCTGTAGTTGGAACACACCCTCTGGTCCCCTTTCTTGAAGATGGGGACCACCACCCCGGTCTGCCACTCCAGAGGCACTGCCCCCGATGTCCACGCAATGTTGCAGAGGCGTGTCAGCCAGGACAGCCCTACAGCATCCAGAGCTTTGAGATATCCAGGGCGAATCTCGTCCAACCCCGGGGCCCCGCCGCGGCGCAGTTCCTTCACTACCTCGGCGACTTCTGCCCCCAAAATTGGACGACCCGCCCCTGAGACCCCTGGCTCTGTTTCCTCACTGGAATACGTGTTGGTGGGATTGAGGAGCTCCTCAAAGTATTCCTTCCACCGCCTGACAATGTCCCCAGTTGACGTCAGCAGCTCCCCGCCCCCACTGTAAACAGTGTGAGCAAGTTGCCGCCTCCCCCCCCGAGGCGCCGGACGTTTGCCAGAACCTCTTTGGAGCCGATCGATAGTCCTTCTCCATGGCCTCACTGAACTCCTCCCATGCCTCCCTCCGCGACTGCCGCTGCTGCGCTCCGCTTGGCCCGCCGGTACCCGTCAGCTGCTTCTGGAGACCCACAGACCAACCATGCACTGTAGGCCTCCTTCTTCAGCCTGACGGCTCCCCTCACCTCTGGTGTCCACCAGCGGGTTCGGGGGTTACCGCCGCGACTGGCCCCCGTGGCCTTGCAGCCACAGCTCGCAACAGCCGCCTCGACAATGGCAGAGCGGAACATGGCCCATTCGGACTCAATGTCCCCCTCCGCCCTCGGGATGCGGTCGAAGCTCTCCCGGAGGTGGGAGTTGAAGATCATCTTGACAGGTTCTTCCGCCAGGCGTTCCCAGCAGACCCTCACTGCTCGTTTGGGCCTGCCAGGTCTGCGCGGCGTCCTCCCCTGCCACCTGATCCAACTCACCACCAGGTGGTGATCAGTTGACAGCTCTGCTCCTCTCTTCACCCAAGTGTCCAGAACATATGGTCGCAGGTGAAATGACACGACTACAAAGTCAATCATTGACCTGCGACCTAGGCTGTCCTGGTGCCACGTGCACCGATGGACATCCTTATGCTCGAACATGGTGTTATGGCCAAACTGCGACCCACACAGAAGTCCAATAACTGCACACCACTCGGGTTCAGATCGGGCAGGCCGTTCCTCCCAATCACGCCCCTCCAGGTCCTGCTGTCATTGCCCACGTGAGCGTTGAAGTCCCCCAGCAGGACAATGGAGTCCCCGGTCAGGGCACTGTCCAGCATCCATCCCAGGGACTCCAAAAAGGGCGGGTACTCTGAACTGCTGTTCGGCGCATAAGCGCAGACAACAGTCAGGACCTGTTCCCCAACCCGAAGGCGCAGGGACGCAACCCTTTCGTCCACTGGGATGAACCCCAACGTACAGGCAGAGAGTCTGGGGGCTATCAGAAAGCCCACCCCGGCTCTCCGTGTCTCACCCGGAGCATCTCCAGCAAAGGAGAGAGTCCAACCCCTCTCAAGGACTTGGGTTCCAGAGCCGGAACTATGTGTCGAGGTGAGGCCGACTAAATCTAGCCGGTAGCACTCAACCTCTTACACAAGCTCCGGCTCCTTCCCCGCCAGAGAGGTGAAACAAGGTGATTTATAGAATTTAATATGACTCACAAGTTAAATCAGTAGTTTGATATGTAGATGTGTCAGCTATTTTCATATGGAGGGTCCTGGCAGAGACACAGAGGTGGGGGCACTGAGGTCACTGGCAGCAGGGGGAGGTTGTTACTCTTGTGTGGATATGACCATGTGTGTATGATATATTAGTTTGTGTTAAACAAAGGTGATACTAATATCCCCCAGAGACCCTGCGTCCTCATATGAGGACATTACATTTTGGGTTTACTGGACCTTCTGTGTCATTCTGCTTAACTTAGACCTCTCGTCCTCGTTCGTGGACACTTTTTTTGTGCCGTCTAGTGGTAGTAAGACCACAATACACTCATCCATGTAAAAACAAGATGGCAGCCATCTTGGCCAAGTCAGTCTGCTGCCGACCCCGACACAAAAGTGGACAAGGTAGAAAACCTGATCACATTTCATGGTTATTTATTTACAACTTGTTTATTTATGATTAATAATGTTTTTAGCCATACAAATTTGACCAATTTTAGCAAAGTAACAAGCTAAGAAACTGTTAAGTACTTGTTTGCAGACGGGGATTTCTCATCAGCTCGTTAAAGGACATTGGGACTTTCTTATCGTCTCGTTTGAGGACATTAGGGGCTTTACTGTTGTCTCCTTTGAGGATATTGGGACTCCATTAATTTATTTATTATTGTTGACAATCTTTATTTTTTTTAATACTTATCAGAGGCTGCTAATCTCAAATAGCTAGGACAAATTGAAAATGCATACCAAACAAAAGTTCAGGTCTCAGGAGGGTGTTGATGAATGGGGCCCAACATCCGAGAAATAATTCAGTGTGGTTGTTTGTGTTCCGTGTTATTTGCCCTTCTACTGAAATGTACTCTGATATCAGAAGGTCCCACTGGGATTTTAAGAGGTTATTTTTGTCTTTCCAGTTCAGTAAAACTGTCTTTTTAGCGATGTTAAAGCGATAGAGGTTGTTAATATTTCATGTTATTGTCATATCCACAAGCAATTACAGTAAAATCATGGCCTGTCTTTGTGCAGTGTGTCCAAAGCAAAATGTGAAGATTTAAAGCTGCACAGCGACACTGAACTAAATGTGTGACCTGACAGCTGGCTGCGGCATTTAACAGAAAAGTCTTCATGCGTTCTAACCTGTGGAATTAACACATAACCCACATATCTAAAAATAACCTTACCATAACCTTAAAGTGGGCACTCAGTACAAGAATGCTTTTAGCTAGAAAAACTAAAGGGTATTTTTTGACACCAGATTTGCTCATCTCACACACCTGCCGAGGAGTGTACACACTGACTTCCTGTTATTATTACTGTGAAAAAAATAGGGGCTCAGTATTAGATTGAACTATGCAATAACACAGGCAGCTGCACTGATGGGTTTTTTTTAAGATTCATGACAAGTAATTCTCAATAATTTGACCGCAGTTTTACATTAGAAAAACAATTGGCCAGAAATTTGGCATAAAAATGATAATAATGGACCAATAATAATATTATTTTTCAAAACTGACTATATCACAGCAGAATATAAGTATTTAATAACAGACATAATTCATTCTTTTTAATTCATTTTTCTCATTGATACAAATAAAAAACATTACAACATACAACTCTCACCAACAGACAGTGACTCAACAAGACCTGTTGAACCAGACCTGCTGTCTACAGCTGTGGCTCCAACTTTTTTGGCTCACTATAACTGAGATAAAATTATCTACTATTTCACAACACAAGCGCATAAAGAAAAACGTCCCAAAAAAATATGTATCAGGACTTAGTTTCTTCGTCTTTTTTTTCCGATCAGCTCATGATCTCTCAGACTGATCTGGTGACCCTTTGGGGAGAAACCACTGGTCCAGCGGACCAAAAACTCTTACATTTCATCGGCTGAAATTACTGCACTCACAATGATTCACAATTTTAGGGAAAAGCCATCAAACCAAAGTTTGGCAAGTGTGAAATTTCCTAATTTCCTCTGTAGTTAATACCGTCCTTCCCCACAGTATAACACTTAAATCATTTCTGGTTTGTCCACTGTGAAGAGAATTTTGTCTGGTGATTCCTGAATCATCTTTTACAGTCTTTCTCAGGTGTTCCTCTTGTTGGCAGCACTGACTATGACAGGAGGTGGCTCTATGTTGAGCTCTTGTCTGAGGTCTTCGATGCTCTGTGCCCATCGTCTCTCGTAGAAGATGTTGAGGACGCAGCGGGCCCGGCGACCGTTCTGCAGAGCCCACGGGCCCAAGGATGTAAACAGCAACTGTAAACGGCTAGAAGGTGACACAAGAGAGGAAAAGTTCAGCATGACACAACAATGAAGGGATTGTTTTGTATTTCTGAATTCTGATACACCAGTTCCTTAAAAGCACAAGGAAGTTAAGTTACTGAATGAGGAAGGGTTAATGAGTTACAGGTAAAGTGACGGTTTACAGGTATTTGCTTATCATAACCGAACAATGATATATTGTTTGTGGGAGTGTTTCCTCTTATCCCTCATACACAACACCTGCATAAAAGCCTAATAAATATTTACAGTATGGCAGTAATTCCTGTGGGATACAAAATTTGGCAGGCCGCACTGTTGTCAGAGTTGGGTTAATGCTATTTGTTATACATAGATTAAGGGCGGCAACTTCTAGGCTCATAAAACCCGAGAAGCAAAATTCAGGGTATAGAAGACCCCAAAGTAGACCATAAATGATTAGCTGATGAACTGATAAGTCAATTTAAATTTATTGAAAACTATTTTGGTAATTAATTTATCGTTCAAATCATTTTTGAACAAAAATGCAAAAACTTTCAGATTCCAAAATAATAATTTTTGTTGGTTTTCTTTGTCTTTTAATACATTAAACTGAATATTTCTGGATTTTAGGATGTTGCTCAGAGAAAACAAGACATCTGGATATGTCACATTTATAAGAAATAAAGCAATCTGTAAATTGAGAAATTAATTGGCAGATTAATCCCTAATGAAAATAATCAAAGCCCAGGACTGTGCTGTGATTTTAACTCTGGTAAAAAATACTGGTACTGTACCTTGTGTTCAGCCGCAGTGGGCCCAACACAGCTCCCAGGGCACACATGGGGAGCCCAGTCTGAGCAGCTTCAAACCATTTCACCGCCACTTCACCTGAAAGCAGTAAGAAGGGACAAAAAACTCTCCAGATTATTCTGGATAAAAGGAGAAGGGAATATGTGCTGAGACACAAAGACAAACTGCAAATACAAGGTTGCCAATTTACAGCCACTTTTGTATCATAACAATGTCTGGAGTATGTGTAAATACAGTCTTAACCCGAATTAGTTGACTTTACTCGCAAATCACATGGAAACCCGTTGCCTTATACCACATTAGATTTTACATTAGCTAAAACTAAGTAAGTCAAATTGAATCAACATAGAACATAGAACCTTTAGATTTTACACAAGCTGAAACTAAAGACATCATGTTGTGTAAACATATAACCTTAATTTTATGCAGTAGGCTTAAAGTACATATTAGTAGTGTCTACTCAAAATCATTAGAAAAATTACACATATATATATATATATATATATATATGTGTGTGTGTGTGTGTGTATATATATACACACACACACATATATATACAGTATATATGTGTATGTATACACAACACTTCAAGATTGGTACAATACAATTAGCTGATGCCCATTTACATAACACCAGCTAGATTATATCAGTTTAATAATAATATTCTAGATCTTTGTAAGGCACACTTTTCCCATAGCATGTGAGATCTCACAAAACACTAGATGTAAAGCTACCTCTTGATCCAAAAATGTTTATTTGGGGTTATATTTTGCCACCTTATTCACATCAAGGGGTAAACGAATTCTTATGTGTTCACTCCAGGCAAAGTGTTCAATCGTCTTATCATGGAAGAATATTTAAAAGCCACAGGTGGGCCAATGGCTTAGGGAAATGAGTAACTGTTGTAATGTGGAGAAGATAACTTAAATTCAGAGAAGTTAAAGTGAAACCTTTGATGGGGTTTGAGCCCCCTTTACCCAGCCGTTAGGGAATGCTAACTGCTAATTAACCAGTTAGGTTAAGGTATGTCTTGTCTTTTAACTGTGTTGTTTAAAAAGCATTAACATACTATGGGGAAAAAACGAAAGGAGAAAAGAAATGCAGAACTTCTTTTAACTCTAATTGCAAAACATTTTCCTGCTTCGTTTGACAAGTTCATTCCATTAGTATGCTGTCAGCAAAACAGAGGGCTCACATCAACAATTTATAGTGAAAGCGGTTGAAAAGCAGGAAATGTGCACAGACTGCTGGGAATGGAAACAAGGAAGAGACTAGGCCCTGTCTACACGTACACAGATATATTTTAAAATGAACATTTTCCCCTATGTTTTAAGATAATTCTGTCTATCTTTGTTTTACAAAATATAGACTCCAAATGCTCGCCGGTGTCAGCTGTCTCCAGCAGTCTACCTTGTCACAAAAGCTGTAAAGTTTACAGGCTAACGTTACCTTTTTTCAAAAAACCTGCTGGAGAGCTTATCGCCAATGATTCTCGTTCAATTTACAGATGAAGAAGCTCATTCAAACATACGAGTGATTCTCTGGACATGCGAAAATTTTCCTTCCATTCCTCATGGACAACAACCCACTCTGGAAATGTCCCACCATCTGTTTGTTTAACTGGTCCTAATCCAAAGCTATCGTTTTTGGTGGACTTAAAAACGCCAATGATGGGGTGTGTAGAGGAACAGCCTCTCTGGACTTCCCTCGAACCAGTATTATTGATGAATGGACCCAGGAGACCACCGGAGGGTCAAATGTTTAGGACTCACCCCTGTATTACCCCGATTGGACAAAAACTTCTTTCAGCCATCCTTAGGCCAAAAGGAGGTAAAAAAGTCTGGTTTTTACCAGGTACCAGGTTTTCAACTGGTTCTGTCTGCCATGCGCACAATAATTCTTGCTGAGACTTTATTCGTTGTACTATTAAAAACAGCTTGGCTATCAATCTCCTATAAATGACATGACTGAAACGTGATTTCACTTTGTCTGAAATGTGATGACTTGTATCTTATCTGGAGACCATTTTCAGTTTTAATTTGTGAAGTCTGACTCACCCAGCATGTTGGTGGGCATTCCCAGTAAGGTGTGCAGCAAATCATGAACCTCTCTGTATCTTTGCATGACGTAAGCTAGCTCCTCGTCATCCACAAACTTCACGTCTGCCCTTGTGTCAGGGGTCACGCGCTAACAGAACAGGAAAGTGAATGCGTGAGTAAAGACAAGAGAATTATACAAAGGGAGGGAGGGAGGGAGGAAATTCTGGGGAAATGTGTTTGTCTTGATGAAACAAGCATTCTTCAACAGACACTCACATTGTCCTCCAGAAAGCGAAGGTATTCTCTGCCAAAAGAGCCATCAGGCAGTGAGGCCATCTCCTTCATATCGAGTGTGGAAAGCCGGATCCTCGGCCTTTCTCTGCAATAACCAGTCAATAATAACAAGTATGACTAAATCATGTATCATTCACAGTACAGAAAATGCTATTTAAAAGCGCTTAAATCTGGAATGTTACTTATGTTACTGTTGCAGGGACTCACATTAGGATAGTGTAGCCTTCAGGGTCATTTCTCATCTTGTCTCTGAGATTTACCAATGCTAGGTGTCCTGTTGTCTCTCCAAGCACTGCAACCATGTCTGTAAGGAGTTTCATCCAATTACAACGTATTAGTTGTACAATATAGACATGTGTTGCTGTTAAACCTACAATCGAATGTTTGATTGCCTCACAATAACATATATTTCAACTTAAAGAAAACAGATTTGTTACATTGATAATAGACAGTTGAATAATATGTAGTTTGTCATAAAATAAAGTGTATAATAAAGCTTTCATGTAGGGGCACTCTGATGAGTAAACTAATGATCAGTTAACTCACCACAGAGAGTACTAGTCAGCCTGTGAAAACAGCTGTTATGTATTTTCTGTGGTTTTGAAGGAGATTTTTAAAGTGTGAGAAAATGTCTGGCTGAAATGCCAAGGCTGGTGATGTCATCAGAGGTTATCTCTCATAGTTTAGTTTGGAGAGTACAAGGTGTTCACAGAAAGCCTGCTTTATCAACTGGGCTTGTGGAGTTGGAATGGCCTGGGTGTTTGCCAGGCAGGAAGGGGCAAATGAAAAAAAAAAGGATACAGCATTTTTGTAGATTAACAAAAAACTGGGGACTAAAAGTCACGTGTGGGCCTTTAAAAACACCTGTGGTCCCTAAACTAAATGCCAAATGAGAGGTGTTAATGCCATCTTCCTCACTGAGAGTTTCAGGGTATCTGTGCTGACATATGGCCTTGCTCAGTATCTATTCTCATTACGGTTTCCAAGACATTTTAGAAGCACGAAACAGTAGTCTCCAGAGAATAAAAGACTGACAATGAGTAACAAAACTTTAACAGAAATGAGAAAAGAAACCTCAGGTACAGCCCCACACTGCTGCTGATGGTATCATTTCACTGAATTATAAAAACCAAAATGAAACAATCTGACCACGAAGTAATCCAAGTCTCATAACTTAGTCATGGGAGCAAAATAAAAATGAATCCCCACAGCCAATCAGTTTACAAACCCAGTGCTGACAAAGTTGTACAATGATTTTGTTGAACTGAACTTGAAGGTTCATTCTTGACCTTGGATAAAGTAGTTTGATCAGATAATCTTATCCAAAGGTTCACCTCCTTGTTTTTTTGTTTTGTTTTTTTCCAGCCACATTTGTGACCTTCATCAGTGAACTCCATCTGCTAATAAGAATAAGCTCAGAAAAACAAGTAAGTAAACTTTATGATAAGACTTTTTAAAAACAATTTCCACTAGGCTGCAATGTATGAAAGATGCTCATCAAAAGGGTCTAAGGAGGATGACGGATTTTTGATGAATTTCCAAAGTTTGGAACATCAGGGGTTTTCTATTGTACTACCTGCGAGAGAGCTTCCTCCATATTTGGCTATACTGTAGGTCGTCTGGGACTGGGCTGTACCACCATACTTAACTGTTCATGGGAAGGCTTTTTGTGATCTTTTCCCAGATAGCCTTGATTTGGCGATAGAGATAATGACAGGAAATGCAAGGGGGGGGTGCAATAAATACCTCCAGACAGAGTCAGACACCACAAGGGAAAGCATTTAATTAAAAAAACAGATAGGTAGACGGCAAAGGAAGTCTCACCATGCCTGTAGGGATTCTGTAGTGCTGCCACACCTGACCCGACAGCCAGCAGGGCTTTCTGGATGGGGGTGGTTTGGATATGTCCGGGATAGAACCCATCATAGCAGCTGTCTGTGTACACACTGCCGCTACTGTACAGCTTGTGGACGCACACTGCTGCGAGAAAGGTGATGCAACATTTAAACCTTTAACACAAGTGGACCAAGACAATCTTATCATGCGCTCTTTTATTGCCCTCATATAACAATAACTCAACAGCTTATTGATATATGTTTATAGCACAGCAGAAGAACTGGTGTTCTCTGCTAAAGCCAGTAAAACCAGGAATTTACTGGTGAAGACTTTATTACACAGCACAATCATGCACGTTTGACATGTATACGTGAATTATTTGGGGAAAACCTGAATGAGAATATATGCTGTGGCAAAGAAGTGTAGCTCAGGTGCATTACTTTTTGCTCACAAGACGCCTGAGAAGAGTGACTAAGCTCATTGTCCATAAGCTGTGTGTTTCATTATATAAAATAATATCACTCATTTCAGTTTAGCTCAGGAATATCACTCATAAATCACTGACATTTCAATGAAATAAACAGATTATCGCAATGATGTATGGGCAACACCCATCTGCAACTTATTGTGGACAAAAATCAGTATTCTTAATGAGTATTCTGTCGTTCCTACTTGAAAGACAAGAGTAGCTAATGACTGATATAATATACAACATGATTAGAGACATGTATCTGATTCTAGCTTACAACATAGCCGTTAGCTAAGAATGCGTACAACTTGTGCTCTCTGGTAAGTTAACGACATGCTGACAGCTGGGCTTCAACATTCATTCATTTCTACGTTAAACAGCTCACATTAAGTAACATCTAACTATTTATCTAAATAGTATATTCCGCTTTTTCGAAACTCATACCTTTGGAGATCAACCCGTTTTGTCGCTGTACGAATCGTTGTAAAGGTCTACATACGCACAGCGACATTGTGGACGCTAATGCGCATGCGTCACTTTGATGTCACACTAGTTTTTGACTCCGGGGCAGCCCTGGCAAAGGGACGGAGTTAGTCTGTTTGAGTGAATACACTGCTGAGGGAGTGACTCCGCCCTCATCCAGTTGCCTTATCTGTTAAAGTAAACGTACCATAAAAAATTGTAAACACGGCTAAAGGTTGAGCTGTCCTTCTCATGCAAGAGCGAACAAACGAACAGTTCCGTTTTCTGTCTGTCGACAGAGACGCTATCAAGACGCCAAGGTTAGTTGGCTGAACTGGTGTTTCTGATTGTCAGATAGCTTCGCAGTTTGCTAACTGAGTCGTTAATTCGTCAAACATACAGTTGTAGGCTGGCCAAACGCCGCCTAACTTAGCATGTAGCTGCCTAAAGTTGTGTAAGTTAGCTAACTTACTCACACGAACCAATAAGCGACGCAATAAGTTAAGTGCTAAGCTACATCGTTGCTGTTATTTAACGTTAGCCAAGTAACTTAACTCAAATGTAAAGAGGAAATAAAGAGGATAATTGTTCTTCAGTAGTATGTAGTCACAACGTAACACACGAAGTAACGTCTGACTAAGCTCTCAATCCCGATACTAAACCAGGCTTCAACTGTGGCTTCTTATTTGATCTGTCACGTCATTGAGGGCGTAGCTACACTGAAATACTAAGGTTGTGTGTTTGCGACTAAAAGACGACACGACAACCTTTGCAAGCTGGGTGAGTAAAGATTCAGGTTTGGTTTCAGTGCAGTTTTGCAGAGAGGTTCACGAAGTGTAGATACCTTCAGCAGTCGTGTAAAACAAATACTGACCAAGATCATGGCGAGCAGAGGGCGAGCACACAGGGAGCAGGCAGAGCAGAGGGTGTTTTTCTGGCTTCAGATAGTTGCAACTAGATCTTGATCAGCTTAAAAGCAGTCAGGGAAGTTGTTTTTGACCATATAAGTAATGGTTGTGGAGACTGAGAGGTAGCTGTGTTGTATTTAACTCTTCAAGGTATTGTTTTGGCTGACGTTGCAGCTATTGCTGATGTTTCTTTCACAAACTTTTCACATTTGTATCTTGAAAGTTAGATTACTGTATGGCTACAATTCAAAAGCCAAGGTCATTATTTATCACAGCTTTGTCTTAAAAGTTTAGTCATGTTTGTGCTGTGTTTATGGCTGCTTTCATGCCACTTAAGTTCTTGTGACTAACAGAGTCTAGTCTGTGAGTCTTTTCAGGATAGTGGAGTGTATGTCAGAAAGTGAACATCTGGTTCCTACATGAGATCAGCCTGGTTTAATGATTGTTTTCACACCTTACCTTCTCAAGGTTTCTGTGGATACATAAACTAAACAAGAGCCTAGGTGTACTCATGTACTCATTAAAGATAGGTTCATTGTTCACTGACAGGTAGTGTTGAGTTACTGAGTCATTCACTGTGCCCTTTTTGTTCCACATAGACAGGTTTAATCACATGAAACTTGTTGCTTACAACAGTATGTTGCAATAGAGAGTACTGGATGTGGTGATGTGTCATATAACAGAGAATGATACCAGGGAAATATGGTGTGGTTTTTCAATGATAAGCAGCCTCAGGTTTTTATAAAAAGTGAAGATTGTAACTTCCCGCCTTAAAACAGGTCTTTCTTTGACATGAAGTAACATAGGGTGGAGGAACATAACTGAATGATTCTTATCACTGTTCTAGACAATTCACTGTTAGATAACCAATACTGCTGTTTCATTGCCAGTAACTGGATTCAAGTTTAAGATTATTCAAAGTATTTATTAAAATATTGTATCAACATTACTAAGTCTTCTTAGAAAGGAAAACAAAATGTCAGAAATAGATAAGACTTTGCCAAAATATTATGTTTCAAATACAGTTAAAATGTTTTGTAATGTCATCTTAGAAGTTGTATTTTTGCTTTATCTTAGCACAAATGCTGAAAAAGAGAAGATGCCAGTCCACAGGAAACTTTTGCAACAGTCTTTTATTTGTCTCATCATAAATAAATCAGCTTTTGGAAAATCACTAAATTCTTACATGTTTCTCCTAAACCCCCTCTAAGGAGAAATAAGGAGCAAAAGAATAAATCAGCAGGAGTTCTTTTGCTGTGCTCATAGGCCTCTCAGAGGTTTCTCAAATCTGAGAACAGATAAAATGCAGAGTTGAGACTTCAGTTTGCTCACTGAGACAAATTTCTGAAATTGTGCAGGCACATTTGTAAGCAAATTACGTTTTCTGTTATCTCAATAACTGATTGTTTCTGAAAAGAATTATTACTGCAATGCGAGAGGGGAAAAAGATCATTTTAAGATCTTAAATCAGGCTGAGACGAGAGGAAGGCTATTCCTCAGGAGCTGAATAGGCTAGACAAAGAGGAGATCTGAATATTGAATTTTCCTCCCCTGGGAGGGAGAATAAATGTTTGTTGAAAGGTTGTGTACTGTTATTACTAATGTCTGCTGATGTGTTATTGGTCATATGTTCCCTTGGGAAAATGTAAGTCTCATGACTTAAGTCTCTCCACCATTTGTCTTGTGATCATGAGAGTTTAATCATTAGGAAAATGAGATGTGAGGCATGTGTTCCTCCTTTGTAGGTTTCAGTGTTTAAACTTAAATGAGTTTGTGGTGCATAGTAACCGTTTCATTTGCCTAGTTTTGATCCATCAGCCACTTATAATCTCACTTCCTTACACAGAGGTTTCGGGGGAGATTGAGAAAGGTTTTAAATCTTATAAGAATAGGGTTCAACAAAAGATGATTCAGAAGTTGGCAGGAGAACAAGAGAGATGGGAAAGGCTGCTGGAGACAAGCAGGAAAGACAGACAAACCTGCAGGAAAGAGCTTAGACTGGACTTAAACCCAGGCTGCTGCGGTAAAGACACAGCTATACTTGCTCTACCTGGTGACCTACTGGGGCGGAGTGCTCCAGGATGTGTCCTAACTTTTTTTTGCCACATCAGCATCAGCACAATGAGTAGCAGCCTCAACTGTTAAAGTATTACGTGGCTGTTTTTTTACAGAGCCGTGTCATTTCAACATCAAGTTTCCCCGTCAGTTTGTGCAGGACAAATACTAAATTGTGTATTTTGTAACCAAAGGCTGATGAAGGCTTACGGGTGAAATGCGTCTGTTGTGTTTTTGCTCTGCTGCCCAGATTAAAAGATCTTTAAAAGGACATTTGTGAGTGCTGGCCTCCTTTGGTATTTTGAAACCAAACAATGCAATACGGGTTGAAAATATGGCATTTACCACCACCTAGTGTAAGCAGATAGCCTTGTTACCCTTTCCCCATTTTAGAAAAATGCAGACACTGAACTTTCTCTTGTGTGTTTTGTACAAACATCAGTGGCATTTTATTGGCACTGAATTTTGATTCATTGGTGAACGGCTTCTTTCAAAGATGTATTGACTCAAAACTAATTCATAGGTGGAGACAGCACTGCTCAAAGCTATTTGGCTTTTGTACTGTTTAGAGTTCAAACCGGATGAACGACATGAATATTGTCGTTGGAGCTTTAGACTGCTGGTTGTTGCATGCGAAGCTGCAGTCTGCTCATATTCTTTACAACATTTCCTGAGACATTTACATGAACTATATGTTGACAGACTGTACTTGCATGCACACACACACACACACACACTACACCATTTTCTGCAGCTGTGTGTAAAACTAAACCCAGTTAGATGCTTTGACAGGCAACAAACAGCTGTGTGCATATTTATTATTGGAGTATTTGCTGTGGGTGTGTGGGGATATGTCAGTATTTGATGACATCTGCTGGTTTATGGGAATAACACTCCCTACTCATTTTCCACCCATAAGGGATTTTTCAATGATAAATCATGTGCTACTAACAGTTAAAACACTCATAGAGCAGACATGTCCAAAAGAATTTTTTAGCAGCATATAAGTGCAGATTTCTTGTACAAAAGTTCCACCACAATCATGGTAATGCACTTAATGCAGTAGACTGTAGGGGTGAAATTATTGCCACTCCAGGCTTGTCACTACAGGATTTTCGTGAGACTATGATTTAGCATTGTACCGCCACCATTGCAGAGTTTCAGGTTCAGTTCCTGGCAGTGATAGCTCCAGCTTAATCTGATGAACGTTACTGGCATTGGTAGTTATGAAGAAGTGATCATATCTTTGGCTCTGCAGTTGTTTTGTTTTGCGGTTGATGTCACAGCAGTAGGCAAGCCTGCTTTAAAGTGATAATTTACTGCAAAATCAAAAAGGAAGGAAGCGCGCATTTACTCATGGACGAGAGGCTTGTGCTTGTGACAGCGTAAGATGTAAACATTAAAGGCGTCCTCCTCGGCTGAGCTGTAATGTTAGCTAGCTCAGTGGTGCTCAGTGAGCTAGCAGTAGATGCAAGCTTCCTTCTGCCCAGTGATACAGTTGGCTGGTGTAGTTCAATAGAAAGAAAATAGTTCCTACATGAAACTGCCCTGGATTGCCTTGAGGAACACAGTCATGTTTTCTGGAAAGAGACATGGCACTTTGAACACCACAAGCGGAGCGCCGTCTCGCTCCATTATATTCGAGAGAACGCAGACATCTCTACAGCTGATAACTCCAACACATGGCAACTCACACCAAAACAATCTAGATAAATAATGCGCGCACTATAGGTAAGAGGAAAAATATGTATTTTTGATTTTGGGTGAACTGTCCCTTTAAGAATTGTCACAGTTCATAGCTTTTGAAGTTTGACAGAGAGGCGGAAGGTCTGGCTTTGCTGCTACTTTTGACCTTGCTGGATTCTATACTGATCTGTTTGGTCCATTGTGCAGCACACAACAGAGTAGACTTTTGTACTGGTTGCGAAACTAAGCATTACTAAAGCAACATACTGTTTATTAAAGGAAAACTTGGAGACCTCACAAATCTCACTCCTGTGGACATTGTGCCCTTCTTGATATGTCCACTAGATGGTACCAATGGAAAGAATATTCAAATTATAAAAACAGGCTTTAAATTGTTGCATACAAGATTTAACTTCTTGTAAAGCTCAAATATCGTACAGTTAAAGGTCATTATTATGAATATTGTGACCACACCCTACTTTGATCCATAGTACATTGTGTTGCACTCCATATATTGTGGGCAAAACATATAGTAACCGCTAGATAGCAGCACAAGTCCAATTATTAGCCCGGTGTAGCTGATTTTTTGATAAAAATCCATCCTTTGGGTAGTAAATGGCAGATTGGTTTCAAAACCAAGTATAGCATGTGGCTTTCATGACTTAAAGCTGGACACCACTCTCCTGAAGCAACAATTTTTTGGAAGGTTAGAAGTTTTAAAAATACATGTCAGTACTCAAGAGCACATGGTGGCGCTGTAACAAGCAGATTTACGTTTTGACCTGTATCTCCTGAACTTCACCAAGTGGCGTCCAAGGTGATCTGTTGGCGTTTGCATAATTTTTAATTAACTTGTATTGAGAGTTGTTTGCTGTCTGGGCTAGGATTCCAATTTCCAACTTCGAGTTTGCTTTGAGGGACACATAGTCAATGGTCAAACTTGTGTTAGTAAGTTTTCAGAAAGATAATGAAATGCAGCAGGTTTAAGTAAAGTTGTACTCTTAAGTGAAAATGTCTTCCATTTTCTGATATTGGGAAAGCAGTCTTGGCATCAGTGTTGTGTCCTTATCATCTCTCCGTCCTCCCACCGTGTCCTAGAGTAACTCATCCGACAAATCCGTCACCATGTATTTTAAAAAGATCTGTATCTCTCTGCTGGTAACGACTCAAACGATTTTGCACGCATCTCATATAGGCTGCACGTATAAGGAAAGCATTTTGGAAGGTTCATAGGTTCATAAGGTTTGCAGCAAAGACATGCTAATGGTAACTCAGCCAATGGAGATACACATTATGCCCAATAACTTTCAACAAAATAGAGATTTGAAGGGGTGAAGAGGTGAATTTCAGTTGCACACAGGTGCCATTGTAGCCTCAACTGTTTTACATCTCTTTGAATTTATGCAAAAACGCCTTTATCATTTGAAACCACATGGGTTTCACAATGATGAATCAGCCTTGCACTCCTTGTACAATTATTTGCTGCTTATACTGAATGTTTGTACTGCTACTGAATTTCCCATGTGCTGATGCAAACAGTAGGTGTAACTCTGACGCACACACAAGCAATTACAAGTATTTCCCGCAAGTAATTAAAGTGTAACCCGTCATTAATTACGGGTGTGACAGAGAAAATAAAACTTCGTGACTGCACATTAAGTGCTCTAAACATATCTTTACTGACAGCTGTTATGTGTGGTATTCATTCACAGGCTATAGCACCAGATTGATGGAGAAGAATGGCCCGAATCTCGTTGGACTGCCCCAACTCTTTACCAGGGATCCCCCTCAGTGTGCTGTCAGTGCCCATGGAGAATAAATACAAATGTCAGCAGTGTCTCCAGGTCCTGAGGAAGCCTGTCCAGGCTCAGTGCGGCCACCGCTTCTGTGTACACTGCTTCAAGCAGCTCACCAGGTAGACTGGAGGTCCTCAGACCACCCACAACCGTGTGAAATGCAAACCCGCTTTCTCCCCCTAGTGCTTACCCTCTTATTGGACATGCTTCAGCACATCCTGTGTTATCTTATCTCTTGCCTCTGGGACTTTTTTGCACCCAAGATCAGTTTCTTTACTCAGACTCATCCCTCACATGACTGGACTCTTTTTTTCTGAAGTCAGTGAATCACAAGGATTTTGCCATGCTGACTCATGCTAAGGTGTCATTGTTTTCTTTACCACTTCTTGTCCTGTCACTGACTCATGCATTGTGAATTCATGACAAATACATTAGTGTACCACCTTATGTGTAATGATACTCTGGCAGTATAATTAACCATAAGATGACAGTGCGGGAACATAAAGGTTCAGTGTGGAGGATTTAGGGGGACATATTGGCAGAAATGGCAAATAATATAATAAGTATTTTTTCTTTAGTGTATAATCACCTGAAAATAAAAATCGATGTGTTTTCATTACCTTAGAATGAGCTATTAATATCTATAATCACTATGTTGCACCACCGTGTTTCTACAGTAGCCCAGAATGGACAAACCAAACAGTGGTTCTAGATAGGGCCATTCACATTTTCAGCATTTCAGCATAAGTGTTTTTACCCGTTTAAGTCACCTGGTCTGTTTGTTTTGGAGAGGAAGAGACCTCTGCGGATAATGTGGTTCACGATAAAAACCTCCTGAACATTGAACACTGAAGGAAAAATAACCGATAGATGTCTCAGCTTTTTGCAATCTGCCATCATCACCACTAGATGCCACTAAGTCCCCTTAAATCGTAAGCACTGGACCTTTACATCATTTTAACAACTATACATAAAACCATATATTAAACTAAACCTTTATAACACGTATGTACTGAGTCTCATTTTTGCTAATCTACTAACATTCATACAACAGCAAACAGCACTTTATCTTCACAAGTCATGTGAACGGTCTGAAAACCACATGTGGCTGTGTTGTGTGTGACTTCGTTACACGCGAAACTCTTTTTACATGCGAAGCTACATGCAGAAGTAGTTTCACATGTGCTTACTTTAATTTTTAACCAAAACCACATGTGAAACTGAGGCGATTTCACTTGACCTGTCTAAACACCACTGCTGCCTCTACACAAGAATTCATCATGCAGTATTGAGAATATGACATGTACCTTTTGATTTTCTGTGTGCTGTTCATTTAGTTGTCTTCAATCTTGCAAAGGCTAATATTTTTTCTTGTGAATTTCCCGCACGTTGTTAAAGTTTACACACTGCAGCATTTGTATATTGCTTACAAGCATCTTTCACTGCTACTGTATTTTATTTTATTCATGTAATTGAGCTCCTGTCCATACTGGTCATCCAGCAATGAATTAGCAGGAAGTTGTTGCTGACTGCTGGCGCCAAGCTGCTGTTTTTTTTACAATAAAGTCACAAACCTGTTTTGTTTGTCAGTGCCGGGCCAAAGCCTTGTGAAGCCTGTCGCCAAGAGGAGATTTACGAGGAACCTATTTCCATTCTAAATAGCAATGAGGTAAGTTATGAAGTATCTACTTTGTCAGTCAACATTTCTATTTTATGAGGCATCTTCCTTGTAATCTGTATATATCCCCTTCCCCCCACTCTGATTCAACGGAATAAACAGTACAGTCCGTTGGGAGTTTCCTTCACCACAACCTCACACACAACCTTTTATGTCTGCTTGCTCTTATATTTCATTCAATGCTTTGTGAGGTCACTTTGTTCTTTGTTTGCCCACCAGGCTTTTCCAGACAATGCAGCTGGCCGCGAAATAGCAAGTCTGCCTGCCAGGTGTTTGAACCAGGGTTGTGATTGGACAGGCTCAATAAAAGAATATGAGGTGAAGTATAAATATAAATTTCCTTTTGTCAGTGTGGGTGTGCTAACTGCTGTCTTTGTGAGTCCCCGTCTGCCTGGCTGTTGACTGTGTACAAGTGTCAGTGTGCTCCACTTAAACCTGTACTGTCAGTATTTCTGTATGTCTCTAAACCATCATCACCCACACAGAGTTTACTTTGTTACACACTATATGCCGCATTCCCGAGTCACATGTACAGCTTTTCCCCCGCAGCTCTCAGCCTCACATTATGACTGAAATATGTGGTGGGATTGCATGCACTGCAGCAACATTCTAGCGGAGGAGAAACAGGAAGTGAAACTTAGTAGGTTGGAAAGTCCCCACGTTACCCGCTCAGATAACAACAACATTCAGTGGGAAAGTACCAGGATATAAAAGGCCATTCAGCTCGAGATTAGCCTGACAGCTGAAGCAGACTATTACAAGATAATGAAACTAGACTCAGGCTGCACCGGTTCACAAGGGAAATACTTAATTTAAACTTACTGTTAGATATAAACCAGGAACAGGTTCAGACAGTAAAATACCTCCTCCATACAGACTGTGGTTTGTTTAATCATAGAAAAGCCCCTTGAGGATCATAAAAGCTGTCTGTGTTTGTGTTTAAATATCTGTCTCCTAGTTTTGTTTCAACTGTAAATATCTCTGTGTGAAGGGTGTTTTTTGTTGAGTGAATAGCTGATGTCCTGATGATAATAAGGTGTAAATGATAAGTGCTTTCTGTCTGTTTGTGGCTTAACCATACTGGGTAACTCAATCGAGGTCAGGCTCTACACAGGAAACCTTAAAATGGTTCAGTGGCAGAAATGTTTAAAATGAGAATGCTGAGCCGATGCTGGAGATTATTTTTGCATGATTTGCAAATGTGGCTCTGACCGGTTCACTTGCTGATGTTATAAAGAAACACGTGCCTGCCCTCGGCAACCAAGGTTCAAAGTGCTTTAGTTTGATTGTAGTGTTTAAGAAATGATTAACATGCTGCATGCTACACCCACGTTTGTGTGAACATCTGTGGGCTGCCGTCTTAGTCACTGGTGTGTGGAAAGATCCGCTATGTTGTTAGCTAGCCACATACGCCTAAAAGTACCTGGGAAAAATAGACTTAACATGGTGTCAGAGTGGCACCGTGAGGACAGGGACATGACTGGAAAGCCGTTGAAGATGATTCATATTTGGCCTGATTATTCGGTTCGAGATTTCCTGGTGTAGCAAGTCTGAAAAGTGAACAGTCAAAGCGAAAAACACTCTAGCCTACCTGTGATTCCTGCTCTGTGGCTCCAGCATGGCAATGGCAGTCATTATGAAAGAGAATAACTTCCTCATTGACAAACTCCGCCTCGCCGGAAGCTCCGCCCATTGCGTTTCCCGGCATTTTTTAAAAATATATTATTAGATTATTAAGCACATTACAGCTTTAAGTAAAAAACATCCTTTTTCCACGAATTTTTTGTTGCACTTGCACTTTTTTATTTCTCTGCTTCTGTTTTTTCGTACATCCTTTTTTTGTGGTGAGTCTGCTCATTTTAACCTTTTTTTATTTTATCTTACTTCTGTATATTATTTGTGTTTGCCACACATCTCGGAACATTACTCCTAATTGGGTCACAGGAAAAGCATTATAATAACGTCAATAACTACACAATTATACATATTTAATATCACTCTCTTGATAAAGTAAGTGCAGCTACCTTTCACCTGCTGGTTTATGCTCTAGATATGAGTCAGATGAATGGTGTTTTGTTTTTCCACATTTAACTGTCAGTACTCTGTACAGGTGTGTCTGTATTTGCATTAGTACAGATGATTGATTTTAACAATGATTGACAAGGGCGTGTTTTTATCAAACTGGCAAAAGGTCAGAAGCTTTGACAACATTTTTTAATCATCCACCATGTAAATGACACCCTGTACCTGCACACAAAAATGTTGTAACGCCATAAAACACAACTGCCTGTCTTTGATATCACTTTTAAAACAATAATGAATACCAGACACATGCAGGCAGTAAAAAAGTCACAATAATAATCCGTCCACTGTCTTTAGGCGCAGCATGAAGGTCGCTGTGAATTTGAGCGGATGCAGTGCGAGGCCTGCAAAGCCTTGATCCTTCGAACAGAGAAGGACAGACATAATGAGAGAGAATGTGAAGCCAGAACGCTCAACTGTAAATACTGCAAGATGACCTTCAACTTTAAAGACATCAAGGTGAGAGATAGAGATTATCTAGTGGCTGGTTGTTTATGTATAAATAAACAAAGAAATGGTATCTAATGCTCCTGCATGGTGGTTTACAGGCCCATGATGAGATCTGTCTGAAGTTTCCCTTACAATGCAAAGACTGTGGCAAAAAGAAGATCCCACGAGAAAAGGTTGGAGCTGTTCCACAAATTACCCTTTGACTTTCCATTTTAAATCCTGTGAGGAGTAAAGTGTTTTTTAATTGCTCGTTATGGTAATGCCTGACAATCCTCTCTCTTACATGTTATACCCTTAAAATAAAACCATAAAGCAATATTCACTGAATAGACTGATACTGCAAAGAGCATTCACAGCTTAAGCAAACATGCAACATCTGTCTCCAAATGGCCTAAAATCCATGTACAATGCATAAATTTGTATAAAACACAATTAACAGAACATGCAAGTTACAATAAATGTACCATGAAACTAGATCCATGGGAGATCCACATGTTGATCATCAGTGAAAGTCTTCTTCTTATGGAGGTTTAAGGATATGGTGCCTTTGAATTCCCTGTATGAGCACTAAGTTTCTTTCTGACTAACAATCCTGTACTTCACTTTCACTTTTCTGTTTCGCACAGGAGTTGCTCCACTGACGCTTAACAATGTTGTTCTTTTTTGTGCTCTTGACCTTCAGTTCAATGACCACAGCAAATCATGCGCCAAGTCAAAAAGTGCCTGTCCATTCAGTGAAGTGGGCTGTAAATCTGTGGTATGTACTGTATTGTTATCAAATACAATGATGTCATTGTGTTGTTTTCTTTTAGTTTTTAATTTAATCAAGTCCACAAAAATATTGATGCAAATACTTTGTTGAAGGTTGACTTGTTTAAAGGTATTTTAAAGAAAGTTTGACATACAGGCTGAAATATCGGACGGTCAATTTGAAGCTATAGCCAAGTGACCGTTAGCTTAGCTTAGCATAAGACAGGAATCAGGAAAACATTGCTGGCTCTGCAAAGGCAACAGTTTTTTTTCTGCCTCCTAAAATGAGAAATAAAAAGAGTCCAGTACATGACATGACATTTCACCAGTATCAACTTGGACTGGATGATCTGATTAGATTTTGGCAGTCGAAGGTCGAGGTCACTGTGACCTCGCATCTGTGTCATTCTTGTGAACGTGATATATCAAGAAGGCCTTGAGGGAGATTCCTCAAATTGGGCAGCAACATAAACTTGGACATAACATCGAGTTTTGGTGGTCAAAGGTCACTGTGACCTCACACAACATATTTTGGCCATAACTCGAGAATTCATACACTAATTATGACACAAATGTCTGTCAGTGATGACTGGGGAGACATTTGGTCAGATACTGAATTGGTGACACTCATTTTGGGTGTCCATCTAACTGTGCTGATTATCGAGATCTCTTATGCTGTTGGGTTTGAAGATGTGTGTGAACCATTGACATTGTAGAATTTGAAGCGTCTTTCGCAGCAACATCCATATTTAAAGCATTGTTTACTGTCATGGCAACATGAGTCTGGACAGACATGGATATAAACTGCAGCTTGACTGGTTTTGCAGAAGCATACAACCCCAACATGGGGTTGCACGTATTAACTAACAAGATATAACATGTCAGCTTTAGAGATGCTGGCAAGTTGATTTTGCACCAGGCTAGCCGCGTCCTGTCTTTATGCCAAGCTAAATACCCTCTGGTGTTAGCGTCACATCTAGTGTGATATGAACGCATCATTTTCTGCCAAGGTTTATTTTTTTCTCACGGGAGGTTTCTGTTTATTTTTTTGTCCGAGCTGTAGTTGCTGTTTTTAAATGGGCGGGGCTCAATTTGGACAGGGTGATGTCACATTCTTTCTATGCACCAGTGTGGATCTAGGAACATTTGAATCAAATCTGATAACAGCTGAGGGGGTTGTTTGTGTATGTTGCCATAGCACTGTTAAACTACACCCATCCTCCCACTCACAGTCCTGATGAAGCAGATTAGAATGTTTTTTTAACTGTTAAACTTTCAGTAAGAAATATTAGTTATTTTTTCCTAAATTTTAATGTTTATTGTTGCTTATTTCATCTTTAAATGTTCCATGTTATGCTTTCAGGAGATCCTTATGAAAAATGTTTGTGTATTTACATAAAAAAACCAAAAACTGGGTAATATTTCATTATCAAAATCATTTTCCCTGACAAATTCCTATCAGCATTGGTCCAAAAAAAAGATTGATGCAGTTTTACTCCCCTAAACAGTAACATAATTTATGCCCTGCAGTTTTCAGTTCAGTTAATTACAGTATAGTAGCTCAATAAGATCTGTTGTGTTTCCCAGATAGATAACGGGAAGCTCGGCGACCATGAGCACAGCAGCACCATGGAGCACTTGCGTCTGCTGCTGCCCATGGTGCTGTCCTTGGTTCGGACGCGTGCTGATGCTCCTGGTCAGGGAGAGTGGCAGGAGGACTCTGGTCTGGGCCTGTACAGGGCTCCTGAGGAGGGAGTCACTATGGGGTCTGGAGCTGCAGCCTCTGTGCACTCTGTTGATGTGGACAAAAAGGTGAGTCTCCATTCCATTGGATTTAATGCTCTTTATTATTAACCACTAATGTTTTTAGGTGTTGAATGAGGACCTAAATGTATTTGTTGCTGTTTTTTTTACAGGTGAGCGCTTTAGAAAACATTGTGTGTGTCCTGAACCGAGAGGTGGAGCGCAGTTCGGTTACATTGGAGGCTTTCTCGCATCAGCATCGTTTAGACCAGGAAAAAATCGAAAACCTCTCCAACAAAGTGCGTCAGCTGGAGCGGACGGTCAACATGAGAGACCTGCAGCTGTCTGAAACGGAGCAGCTGGTGCGAGAGCTCCAGTTCTGCACCTACGACGGGATATTTGTGTGGAAGATCTCTGACTTCTCGCGCCGCAGACAGGATGCTGTGGCTGGTCGAGCACCTGCAATGTTCTCACCAGGTAAGATGAAAGACATACTCACCACCTATCATTTCAAAGGTCTTTTGTACATGCGGCGTATGTTATGTCTCAGCTGAAAGGTTACATTTGAATTTGAATGAGCAAAGATCATGTGGTATGCATGATGTGTTGGCGTGTAGTCGAGGGGAATTCCACTTCTCTACACCCTTGTTGTCCTTCAGGGAGTGGACACGTCACTCCTATTCTTACGACACTGCTGTGGGCTTGGTTCACATTCTGGATTCTTCTTTTTCCATCTCACAGCGTTTTACTCCAGCAAGTACGGCTACAAAATGTGTCTGAGGCTGTACTTGAACGGCGATGGCACAGGTAGAGGAACTCACCTTTCGCTGTTCTTTGTCGTCATGAGGGGAAAGTGTGACGCTCTGCTCAAGTGGCCATTCAGTCAGAAGGTAGCAAAACTTTTTAAATGATCTTTCCACACATCTTGATCCACAATCGCCTCAATGACAGCTCAAAACAAGCTCCTCTTCTTCCCCCAGGTGACTCTGATGCTCTTGGACCAGAACAACAGGGAGCACATCATCGACGCTTTCCGCCCCGACGTCAGCTCCACCTCCTTCCAGCGGCCAATCAGTGAGATGAACATCGCCAGCGGCTGCCCACTCTTCTGTCCTCTGGCCAAACTGGCTGGCAAAAGCCCCTATCTGCGAGATGATACCATTTTCATCAAGGCTATTGTAGACCTCACAGGCTTGTAGGGTGTACTCTGTGGAAGTTACACCAAAGCATGTATACAGGAAAAAACACAGTGAGCAAGTTGAGAATTAATTATAGTGATAATATATCTGTAAGATACTATGATAATATATATAACAATATATAATATATTATTGCACTATGATATTACACAATATTATATCTGCACTATATGTTAAGAATGTCATCAGGTGTCACATTATCCATCTTTAGTGAAGCTATTAGATTTATAAAAGTGAAGCTATTTCTGCTTAATGTCCTGTGTATTTAAGACTTCAGGCAGTAGTTAGATTACTTTAAAATGTATTTCAGTATCCAGCTGTCAGCAGGTGTTAAAGAGAAGTGCTTAAAACTGTAAGAGACAGTAGGAGCTTTAGGAGGCCTGTAATCATCGATCATCCTGATGTGACCCTGTTGGCATTCAAATTAAATTATTATTTGCATCAGATACCTTTCTTATGTTATACATATCTACATAAAGTATATATTGTATTAATTATTATACTCCAGACTCTGCTCTGTATCATGTGGTCTTTCACATGCAGGTCAAACATTGGCCAACTCCATCAATCCAAAAACAATGTTCTGCTCCCTGACAGAAGTTGAGGTTTCACAGTAATGGTGTACATCAAAACCTTTATCAGATATTTTATAATTCTGCCTTAAAACATACATTTAAACTCCTAACGAATGTGACTTGTGACATAGAAGTGAAGACAGGCATGTGATCCATGGATTCTGATCATTCAGGTCATTTGAACAGCGCATCACGGTGAAATAAAACATGAACAGAGATAGATGATATAATTTACCTGTTGAAAATGATATTAAAAGTACTCCGTAAAGTCAAACAGTTTAAATTTCGTGACAACTTGGGCACAATGTGTAGCACAAAGTCCTGCTTAAGCTATAAGTAAGTAGAAATCTTCATATTCACTGTGTGTTATTCCATCTCTACAACATATCCACTATCCATTATTGAAATTTTACTTTTTACTATCATACTTTGGTGTATTTTATGTGTAACATGCTTCTATCAAAATCACCCTTAGTTTTAATGTACTATCAAAATAAACAACATGTTAATTGATGAATGGACCTCGTGTGAAGGCTTTGGTGGTGAATATATGTCAATTGTGTTAATTGAAATGTTTTTTATTAACATAAATAATGTAGTGGTCATCAGAGGTGTGGACTCAAGTCACATGACTTGAATCAACTTCACAAAATCAAAGAGGACATGCAACTTGACTTGGACTTGAACACCAGTGACTCATGACTTCACTTGGACTTGAGGTTAAAAAAGTATGTTACTTAAAAAGTGTGTATTTCCTAAATAAACTAGCATAAATGCTATTTATTTCCAGCAAGTCGACACTTCATTCCTCAGATCCACTTTGTGTGAGCCAATTTGACAACATCCAATCAAGTTACAGTAGAGGACCATGAAGAACAAACGTTAGTGAGCACGAGTTGGAAAAAAATGTACCAAAGATAATTTCATTTATATACAAAACTACACGGTGGTCAACAAAAGCAAAAACATTGTAGTATGCAAAGCGTGGCAGTTGAAAATTACAAAGGAGAACCAACAACTTCCAATAAACTCACTTTTGTAAATTTAAGTTATTATTTTGTTGTTAAAATGGCGTTACATTTTTTGAAGAGCCTGTTATGACAAGCTTAGGACTTGAAACTCAAAGTTTAGGACTTGGGACTTGCCTGTCTTGACTTGGTACTTGAGTGTAAAGAATTGAGACTTACTTGTGACTTGCAAAACAGTGACTTGGTCCCACCTCTGGTAGTGATTCTATATAAGCAGTAGTTTTAGTTTTTGCTGGAGAAATACTGTGGATTTATTTGGACTTCTGTAATGATAATAAACCACTACCAAATATACTTCACCAATCTTTATTTATGGTTGCCTTTGTCTAATGGGTTTTTGAATGCACATCATCTTATAATTCAGTATGTGATGCCATGTTCGCTCTACAGTACAAATACAGAGGGAGAAAGACAAGTCGATCAATCATTTAGTTGGGAACCACTTTTTTAGGCCATGTAACACCAAGTCATTTGATTCATCTTGTACCTGTAGCCAGCAGTATAAATTGCACTAACACAGCTTAGGTATTACAGTACAGATGGGCTTTTTGAAGCTCATCTACAGTACACATTAGTTATGAGAATTGGCGTCACAGGTGGGTTTAGGTCAAAAATATCCCAACAAATAGATCATTCTTTTATCTGTTCAAAAATTTCCCCCATGGGCCACCGTAGGCGATTGCATGTGGTTGTGTGATACTTTCTGACGCTTTCTGCTGCAGTGTAACGTGTTGATAAAAACCCAGTCCACGGATGCCCTGCAAAAATTGAACAGTTGCTGATGAAAACAACCACAAACCACAGTGTCACAAAACAGTTTGAGAGGCTGTTTGTTGACCTTGTTTTTGGTGTATGTTTGTTCCTGTTGCTGTTGTGCTGTTGTCATGAATGTGGAAATGATGTGGTGTTCCTTCTCTCATGGTCCAGAAACCCCAAACATTAAATATGAAATACAGAGGGGAACTCCTCTCTGAAAATAGTTGTGTAAGGTCGTCTGTGGTTCTGAAAGGAGTTTTAGAAATTCTGAGTAACTGTTGTTTCTTGGAGATGACATATTTGAACAGAAAGTCTGCATCACAAATTTTAATATGTGGCAACTTGCCAAACAGGGTCTTATGAAAAGATACAATTGGTTGCATTATGGGAAATGTAGGATTCAATGTTTTTGGATTTTGACTCATACTGGGGACGACCAGTGTGTCAGAATCATTTTGACCATTTTTCTTTTAAAAGGTCCAATGTGTGGGATTTCGGGTGATATATTGGCAAAAAGGAATATAATATACTGAAGTAAGTATGTTTTCTAAAAATAAGAATCGTCATGTTTTTTTAACCTGATTATATCTACACTGCTCAAAAAAATGAAGGGAACACTTAATCGTCACACTATAACACCAAGTCAGTTAAACTTCAGGGACATCAATGTGTCCATTTCAGAAGCACAAGTGATTGTGAATCAGTTTCACCTGCTTTGGTGCAAATGAAAGTGACAACAAGTGCAATGGAGAGGCAAAAGCAAGACAACCCCCAAAAGGGGAATGGTTTTACATGTCGTAACCACAGACAGTTGCTCTCTCCTTATCCTTCCTGGCTAATTCTTCACTAATTTTGTGTTCTGCTAGTGTCCTTGTCACTACTGGTAGCATGAGGCAGTATCTGCAGCCCAATCAGGTTGCACAGGTAGTCCAGCTCCATACGGGCAGCCGCAAGAAGGTTTGCTTAGTCTCCTGACACACTCTTGAGCATGGAGGAGATACCTAGAGACCGCTTGTTACATGAGGAGAGCTGGACAGGGCCGTAGAAGGGCATCAACCCAACAGCAGGACCGGAACAGGAGGAGCACTGCCAGAGCCCTACAAAATGACCTCCAGCAGGCCATGCGTGTGCATGTTTCTGACTAATCTGTCAGAAACAGATTCCATGAGGGTGGCATGAGGGCCTGACGTCCTCTAGCCCAGCACTGTGCAGCTCGATTGGCATTCGCCAGAGAACACCAAAGTTGGCAGAGTCTGGAGAGGCTGCGGTGAACGTTAGGCTGCCTGTAACATCATCCAGTGTGACTGGTTTGGCGGACGGCCAGTGATGGTATGGGGAGGCATAGACCTCCATGTCATAGCCAACAGTACCCTGACTGCTGTTAGGTACCAGGATGAAATCCTCAAGGTGACCTTGGTGCACCGGGCCCTGGGTTCATCCTGGTGCAGGACAATGCCTAGCCTCATGTGGCCAGAGTGTGTAGGCAGTTCCCAGATGATGAAGGCATTGGCGCCATTGACTGGCCCTCTCGTTCTCCTGACCTAAATCCAACTGAGCAACTATGGGACGTTATGTATTGGTGCATCCAACGCCACCAAGTACCACCACAGACTGTCCAGGAGCTCTCTGATGCCCTGATCCAGGTCTGGGACTAGATCCCCCAGGACACCATCCGCCGACTCATCAGGATCATGCCCAGACGTAGTGAGGAGTGCATACAGGAATGCGGGGGCCTACACACTACTGAGTCACATTATGAGTCGCCGTGAAGAAACTCACACAAGTTGCAGCCTGTGATTTCAATATTTTACTTTTATCATCGCTGTGATTTTGAATCCAGCCCTCATCCACCCTGAAGAAGGCTTTTGTGCCAAAACACATGGGCTGTAACACACTTTCATCATGTTTTAACCTTTTCTAAATGAAACAGCCATTTTTTGAATAAAGGCTTTCTATCCATTTGAAGAAGAGTGCCTTGGATTTCCCTTTTTTTTTGAAGTCAACATTCCCACCAAAGAGCACCTTCGTCACATGATTAGATGAGCACTCTGGACTTTCTTTCTGACCAGCCCTCATTGGGTTGATGATTTTGGTTTCCAGTGACCATTGTTACATCATTTTGTTACCCAACAAATTATACATACATACATCAGTAAAGATTTTCAACTTGAATATTACGTTCATCAAGATCTGATGTGTGATTTAAAGGAATACTCCAACGATTTGGGAGTTATGCCCTTTCTCTATCATTTTCATATTGAGACAACATGATCGATATCTTTTTTATGTCTGTACGTCCAGTGGCTGGGTCTCAGCAGTTAGCATTGCGGCTTAGCTGAGCGAATACAATTGAAGTATATAGGGGGTCAGTAGCCTACTAGGTAAAAGTAAACAAATAAATGTTACAGAAATCCTGAAGCTGGCATTTCTGCACGTGCATTTAAAATAAACATGTTTAAACATTAATTCGAAAAACGAGAGTCCTTTTTAGTCGTTTTAGAAGAAGTTTGATACACAGAACTATAGTGTGTTTACGCCCTGCACGGAGGGATACACCGGTGAGCAACAGCTGCAGCTGGCTCTGGGACAGATGCGCTAGGTCACTCGGTAAAAGCAAACAAAGAGACGACTGTCCATCAGCTCCTGCAGGCCTGGAGCGTTTTTTCCAGTTTATCTTAGGAACATGAATGTTTTAATTACGCCAGGATTAGTGATTGTTGCAAAGTTTTCACTCCTTGTGATGCAGTCTCTGCGGCAGTTTTCCTCGTGATGATATATCTCTAGCCTCCCCAACGATGGTAGCACCGAATCCCATCCTGTGCAGCAAAATGATTCCACCTCTGTAGGCATAGGTTGGCAAGTCCCACAGCTACACCACCAGTCCTTCCCTGACCTCTGTGTCCCCTCGGCCCCTTGCTGTTCCGCTGCCTCGGAGGATTCAGCCTCTCTTCTCGCCCGCTCAGCATCTAACACTTGGAGTTCCTCATCTGTATACTCCGGCTCAAACAGGTATGGCTCTGGATCTGTGTGCGCTACAAGAAACTCTTCAAAATCGCGTTCGAAGTCGTCCATTGCACCTACTATAGTCCAGAGATATCGTTAGGCTAAATAAACAACTGAGTTTTGTTTACAGGCAACGTCTGTGCCTGCTCACCGGTGTATCCCTCTGCGGATCACAGCGCAGGACGTAAACACACTATAGTTCCATGTATCAAACTTCTTCTAAAACGAATAAAAAGGACTCGTTTATCGAATTAATGTTTAAACATGTTTATTTTAAATGCACATGCAGAAATGTCAGCTTCAGGGTTTCTGTAACGTTTATTTGTTCACTTTTACCGAGTAGGCTACTGACCCCCTATAGACTTCAATTGTATTCGCTCAGCTAAGCCGCAATGCTAACCGCTGAGACCCAGCCACTGGACATACAGACATAAAAAAGATATCGATCATGTTGTCTCAATATGAAAATGACAGAGAAAGGGCATAACTCCCAAATCGTTGGAGTATTCTTTTAAGTGTTCACTTAATTTTTTTTGAGCAGTGTACATAGGGACTGGGTCCTCTTCCATGGATTCTGCCATGTTTGGAGAGGGACAGACCTCTGCAGATAATTCAGCTCCCGATAAAACTCTCCTGAACAAAGAACACTAAAGGAATCCTAACTGACAGTGTTTTCACGCTTGGTCCTTTTCAGCCCTCTCAACTGACTCACAGCGGTGAGTCAGCATTTTTTGCACATATGTTAACACTCCAAGAGAACCCCTCTGAAGCGAACCGTACTCAGACTAACTCCGTCTGTCTTGACGAGAAACTGAAAATTGTTTTGTTCACAGCTCTGCATATGCAGACTGCAGATCAGGGGTTAGCAGGTTCCAAAAAAGGCAAGACCACAACAACACCATCGTCTGTAAGTTTCGGTCTTAGTTGCAAGTTAGTTGCATTGTGAACACCCTATTACGCACAGACCCTGTGGAGTGCATGACACAATCTATCAAGTTCAAGTTAAACATCCACAGCAAGCAAGTGCCAATGCTAAATGTAAAGTCACTGTCATCATCACAAGACCAAGTTTTCTGTGTTTAGAGGTCACTGACACATGGTAGAATACATGCTAATGTTGGCATTTACAGCCTCACAGATCTGTTAATGTGATGCAACAGAAATGAGACACGAGTAGTAAGACCAGAACTACCTGAATGGCTAGACACTAGTGTTATAAGTGTAAATACTGACTTTAGCAAACTGGCCTGTTAAAGGTGGTAACTTTTGACTCTAACCATCGCATTACAGGCACTTCTTCAAATTAATTTAGAGGTATGTCACCACATATTTCTAGAAAATGAAACCCAACACCTTTATGAGAAAAACCACACGAACGCTTAATATGGAAGTGGTGCAAAGGCATGTTGCTGCATTATCACAAGTGTTAAGTGTTAACCACGGCTCAGTGCGTGGTAGATCTATGCTGAGGGAGCCACTAATGGAAACCCATGTCACCGTGGTAGGGCTTGGTGCCTTGCGATAAAAGCAGACAG